CTCACTTGACTCAAGATGCTCTTTAAATACCCAAATCATCTTTATGAAAATAAAGACATTTCAATGAAAGCAGTTCGGTTGCTAATGGGGATGACATTCAATCATGCATATTTGTGAAATCACCTCCACCTACTACTTTGTAAGGTTAATTTGAATATGCATACAAGGCTTGCTAGTTTTTACCAAGTATAAGCACCACATTTTTGTTTAATTATCTGTTCTATATCATCTGTTAAAGGGGAACTATGTCACATGACTTTTCAAAAAAGAGAAGTTTTGTAGAAAGCAGTGGTACTCTTACTATCCATATCAGTGGCCTGAGATACAGCATGCAGAATAAGACCTTTGTTCTCATTTGTTCTAACAAAAAATGTGCATGTAAGGGGCCAGCATAGAGAAAAAAGCACATTTTGCAGTAATTATTTTGTATCACCAAAATTCCACTTTCTTAAAAGCCATCTCAAAGTAAATTATTCTATTTATGCTGAAAAGGAGCAAAGCTAACAAACAACTGTTGTTCTGTTTATAATTATAGTCCCTTCTGCACTGGCAAACAGAAATCCAGAAGGACTTAACAGTCTGTGTTGCATTACTGTGTGATCACAATAAAAAACTCATCTGGTATCCTCCCCTACCCCTTCAATCTGCTAAAAATCTTAGTTACCGGCAGCTATTATGATAGAGTACACAGGATTTTTCAATGTGAAAATACCATAAAGGAATAAAAACAAGATAACGGCATTTCATAATGGCATTTACGTTCTGCACCATTTGCAAGTTAATTTGCTATCAATAGAAAATTACCTTTTCTAGTGCTTTGTCAACTCTCATCTTAAAAACTCTTCAAAACTAAATGGGAAAGGTCCATTAGAATGACAACTGAATTTTTCTCTCCAGTAGCTAATCTCCTGTTTTCCTAAGCTTAGTTCTTTAATATTGCTCTTAGTTCTCGCTTTCAAACTGCAAAGTCTGTTTAATTTGATCAATAAGAACTTCATATACTTCTTGACAACAGAATGAATTTGACCAACTTTTATGAACCTGGGTATTACATAACCCACTGTGTTCCGTACACGCAGCAACAGCAGATGCATAAAGGGTTCAAATTGTGATTCTGACTTTTAGCAACAAAAATTGCAACGTTTGGTCTTTGTTTATTTGCAGCCACACCAAAAAAGTATCACTGCAGGCCATGCAATTTACTTCCTCCTCTCAAAACTGTTTAGATGTACAACATATGTCCAGAGCACTGAGCAGATGGTGCTTTTGGTTTAAACGAAAGAACGGTAAGAAATACAGCAAATGCATCAGGCCCAAACAGCGCTCACATGTAAGCACTGGTGGTTGATTTCCATGCCAATTAAGTTATTGATGCAGAAGCAGTGCTAAAATAAAAGTGCTGGCTGGTGTAGTGGCAGACGTGGATTAAACTTCCCGTGACACAGAATCTCCAGAGGCTGGGCAAAATTCAGCAAGAGGAACCAAACCCCATCCTGCTTCACTCACTGTGGGAGGAGCTCGTTTCCACAGGAGTGAGCTCTGCTCTAGCGAGAGGGAGGTCAGTGAGACAGCCTCACATCAAGTTGTAAGTGTGCAAAAACCTGTGTGCATTCACCCGAAGCTGTAGAGTTTTGCCTAGAGCTACAGCAGCCCAGCAGACAGTCTGGGCTTGGAAGTGGAGTTTCAGGCTGTCTTCCCAACTCCATTGCTCTGGGACAATCACGTCAGTTCTGTGCTTCTATTTCCCTGCTCATCATCTGCACTTTTCAGCTTAATGTTTTTGAAGCAGATGACCTCATTCATCGCCTGGCACAACAGCATGTTCCCCCCAGCACAGCAAACCATTACTGGGCTAAAAACAACACTGCCCTTTGACCAGCAGTCGCAGATTTTGGATGTCTGGAATTCAGAGTTCAGATGACACTTAAAATGAACAGACCTTGTGCTTTAATGGCAAATGTTACACGTCTGGAAGTAACTTAACTTTACCAAATTTTATAAGCAGTTATGGTGGGAGCCCTTATAAACTGCTTCGGAGTTAATTTGGGCCATGAGGCGCTAACGAACTGCACCTTGATTAAAAAAAAAGGCACAGAGGAATGTTCCCTTTCTGTGTAAGCCCCGAAGCAGCTTGATAAAAGCTAGGTGTATAACCATGGTCCATGATAAAGTGTGTTTTCAACTGCAAAAAGAAAGTTACTGGCATTCTTTTTAAATATATCAAAGATTTTTATTACCTCTAAAGTTTTCTTATCATGGTAACACTTTTCTGCTTTGTGATCACAGCCCCTGTGCTATGTGGTTTGGTGGTTTTTTTCTTTTACCCAGTGATTAATGAGCTGTACCTTAGCTCTGATAACTGCTTCCACAGAAATAAAACCAGTGTAAGCAGTTCAGTGTTTTATTTAACTTTTATTTATTTGTTCAATAACAATACTGCTAAATAAGCTGTGTATTTCAAATAAAGTGGGCTATTCACCTGCACAATGCAGTTGTGCTTACTCAAATAAGAATTACCAGTGATTAGACAACTTGGGTATGATGAAACAAACATGAGAAATGGGGCCTTAAAAATTATTTACATCGTTCATAAGAATAAAATATACAATTTTTTATAAAAAGTATATATTCATGCACGTTTGAGAATTAGGATTTTACTACTAATTTCCATTTCCCATTTCAGATTCACACCTAAAAATGCTCAAAGTATAAACATCTATAAAATTAGCATATCTCAAAACATGAGAATCTGTAAATAATTTTCCCACTTGTTACTGCTGTTAGAAAAGGACAATAACCAACACTTTTTTCAGTCCATTAAGTTAGAAGTCATTTGGCAAAGCACTTAGGCATAAAAGCTAAACCAGAAGATCACAGGAACCAGGCTGTGTTACGTTTCAAACCCTTCTCCTTTACGGGTACCTTTACGCAGCGGGGCAAGAGTTCTCCTCACTACATAGTAACTAGCAATGCAAGTACTTTTTCTATAAGTTACATCGAGAAAGAAGAAAGAAAATGTTCGCAATTGTGCCCAAAGTACTGAAAAAACAACAAAAGTGCTTACTTCTTTCATCAGCAAACTAACACAACGGTTCCTGTACTGTGCCCCTTCAGGCTGCGGTTCTAACAGGCTCTCAAGCGGTACCTGCAAGAAGGTCTCTATTTCTCAATACAAATGATAAACACTTGCTTATCAAAATAGTGCAAACAGGAACAAACAAAAGTGCTGTCAACGCAAGTAAACTGCGGGGGGAAAAAGGCAGTCGAACATCACGACCTCACACCGTTGCTTCAGAGAAGTCAGTAGTACTTTCCTCAGCTCGTCAGACCAAGTGTATTCCCATCCACCGCATCACACCACCGCTGCACTGGGAACGGGCTGGGTCTTTTACATCTCCTCCTTCATAAAAGTAAATGCGCCTGTTCTTTGTATTGTGCATTAAAAAAAGTCTAAAGACTTTTTTCAAAACATTAATTGAGCAAATCAGAGTAATCAATGTATACAATTCTGTCTTCCCTTTTTCCCTTTATAGCTTTCTTTGGAGTGCATAGAAAAGGCCACAGTGACACATCACGTACAAAATCAAGTTTAAGTTTTACGTAAAATACTCAAGTACTTTTAGCATTTATGTACACAAGTTTGTTCACCATACACTCTTTTTCACTCTCCTTAGATATGTCTTTGTCTTGTTTCTTGGACAGATGACATATTTCACCTATAAAGTTAGGCATTTAATCCTAGTATAAATAGGAGTCCTAGGGGAAGGAAGTGTCAGGAGGATCTCATGGCAGAGCAAGGAACACTGTCACTGCAACACTCCTGTCCTTGGGTGTCACAGTGCAACAGATCATAAAATGGAGCAGGTCTTTTCTGTGTCCTGATCTAAAGAAAAATCACTCAAGTCTAATTACAGAGTAGTTTGAAGACGTAAGATAGAATATGGTACGTCTTTCTCTAAGTTCTACTCCACGTGCAGGTTTTTAAATCTTAATTAATGCTTAGATCCAGACACTGATTTTCTTTTCCTGCTATTTGTGACTTCAAAACTCTGTGAAAAGAAACTGAACCATTTACTTAAAGAGCAGTCACAAGATAAAACATTACGTTCATGCCTTTGCTTTTATGGGGCTAAGGCTTTTATTATACCTTGAATTCTGCTTGTGTTTGCAGTTAGCCCTTAATGGGTATTTTTGTTAGCCCCACTACGCTCTTTACGGGGTAAGAGTAGTGATCTGCCAGCTTGCCACAGTCTCAGGCTTCAAATATTCTATGTTTATTCAATTTACTCCTAGGTGGCATGGCTTTAGCACAAGGTATTCTCCATAACCCTTTATTCAAAATGTACATCCTAAGGAAGATTTTTCTCTCACCACTATAACATGATTTTTCTTGTGTGTCTTTGGAGAGAAAAAAAAAAGTCACAAGATGATCTTCCTCCACTAGAACAAGAAAACTTAATTCTAGTTGGATGGGAATGAATACTTCGCTGTCAGGTAACTCCCTTCTCCCCTGCTGTATCAAAATTTATAACTGCTTATTCCAAAAGTTGCTTCTACAGGGTACCCCAATGCCAGCAGTAAAACCCTTATATCATATCAAATGGTGCATCGTTTGGCATGAAGCTTTTAATGGATAATTGTACAAAGTAACAGAATTCATGTAGCATTTTTAAGTGCATTCATTAAGGTGATGTTGCATGAAGTACTGTTGTCATTAATTACTCCATTAAAAACTCTTTCCAGTAAAAAGAGAAACTACTGCAAATTAAAAAAATATCACAGAACTCTAGAAACCTTGCACCTTAAAGGGCTGAGGCTAAATGCAAATCATCATCATGGACTTGAATAAAAATTGCACTTGTATAAAAGAACAAAATTTAGCCCCCATTAATATCCTTCTTATTACTTTTCCGAAAAGAAGTAATAAACCACCAAGTAGTTCATTCCTTACGGCTTCACAGAGTGAAGTTCACGCTAAATTGCCCAGAAGGAACAGTTTCTCAATTGCTATCTTTTGTGAACACATCATCAGTTTCATCATCATTCATCCCTCTTTGGTAGCGGACTGAAGAGAAGGCACTCCAGTGAAGATGCCTCTTTTTATAGAGATACCACACTAATCCGACAATGAAGACTAAGATAATTAGCAAGGCAAATGCTACAGCCACCCCGGTATGATTAGAACCTGTAACAGAACAAAACACAAAGAGTTACTCTTTAAGAGGTTTGGTAAGAATATTTGGGGTTGGTGCTTAGGTAGCCACACACTAATACTGCACACATACAGTTGAAGTTATGGCAAACTCTTTCATCATATTAATAGTCTTCACTTCATCAGATGGGAAGTTAGATTCCCATATGAATCAGCATCTATTAGCTTATTTTTGATCATTTTGTTGTTAATTCCCTAATCATATTTAGGTTGGAAGGGACCTCTGGAGATCAAAACCAACCTACTAATAAATGCTGCACGCATTTCAAGGTTTGTATACTTCAGAAATTGAATGAGATCCTGGACTCTCTTGGAGTGGAAGGGAATTATGCTTCCCTTGGACCAGAAAGATCTTGTTGAGGTCTTCCTTAGCAGCATAAAGTTAAATCTATTCCTGCATTTCCACTTCAGTGAAAATGTATACAAAATCAGAAAGATTCCACTGCTTCTCAGGAACTTGCTTGCTTAATTCTCCTGTACAGGGCAGAGTACGTAAGTAGTAACATGAAGTAACATGAGGCCTGATTCTTCTGGAGCTGCAGGGCACCTTTTCCAGAAGGCTCCTCAAGACTGGAAACACAACCTGCAGTACCTGCTTACTCAGCTTCTCTTACAATCAGAAGTCTTTCTGTTCCCACCTACACAGACTCACCCATGAGAGATACCCTGTGGTAAGAAACAGTAGCAACTACACTATGCTGTCTTTTAAGTGGAAATTTCAGTTCTCTCCCTTACCCTTCAAGTGGATAGTGGGAGCCTGGAGAAGGAAGTTCCTAGAGAATTTCTCCCTGAATGCAATTTTACGGCAAAACACAATAGAAGGCTCTTGTGAGGCAAAGGTACTTGGAAAGTTCTTTTGTGAATTGCACTTCCGTTATTACGACACAGACTTTCCCCACCAAAAAAAAAAAGAAAATCCTGAATATAGTCACTACAAAATTAAGTCTTTGCTAAAATGAATGCTTCCATACCTAAAGGAGCTTTACAAACCACTCTGCTTTGACTATGACTGCAGTCAACTTTGGACCACGTGCCAGTTGTGGACAGGATAACACTGCATTTTTCATTGACTTCTGCAGTTTTATTTTCCCAGTTGACATAGTTAACTGACGAGCCATCAAGCCAGTTCAGGGACTGATCTGCTGGGAAAAAAAAAATTGCTTAGTTTAGATCACCAAAACATGCTGCAAAGCTACACAATCTATTGATTTCTTTACATTGCTAAAAGAAACAGGGCTGACTATCTAACCCATATATTAAAAGCAATAAATACAAACACATCACTTTAGCCACACTTTTCCTCCAGACCTTTAGCATTTGATGCATTTGCAACTAAACCATTAGGCACCAACAACAGTGTAAGGGAAAACGAATTTCAATGACTCCTGATTACCTTAAGTGTGCAACAGGAAGAGACAAGCTACAATGAAGTCCAAAGGGCTTTATAATGTGAAATGAGGGATTCCAACCTCAGGCAGAAGCTACTATAGGCTATCAACACTATGAAACTGTATCCTTATTTGAGGATTTTTATTTACCACATGAAACACTCATGCTCATATATGGTTGCCACTTCTTACCCTTAGGGCTCTGAGCCAGGCCAAGCCACACATTCTTGGTAATGAGATCATTTTCCTTTATGTGCGTGCTCACAAATTTGTTTTCTTCAGCATCCACTATAGTCAGAAGGGTGGCTGAAGGATCTAAGGGGAAGAGGAAACTGGTCACAATTGCAACAAATTTTTCATGGTGCTTGTACATTGAGTTTCCTGTGGGAATAATTACTGTAAATAAAAGATTTGCTGATCTGGGCTTGTAACACTAGCTTGAAGTAACCTTCAGAATAAAGACATAAACCTCCCATTCCGTAAAACACAGCACATTATACAAGATGGCTCCTGATGATTATTCATCTGAATAACCTGGTTATTCAAGCAGGTCATACAATATAAAATGGGAGAAAACTTACTGCAACTGTGGACAACATACATGGAAGACATCAGAAGATATGCCATATTCAGAATTACTAGTCTTGTCCAAATAATAAGCCGTTTTAAAAAATGTAGTGGAACAAAACCTATGCACTTTCCTGAGTCAAGTTAATTTATAAATCAATCTTTCACTGTGCGTCAGGTATTTATACACAGTGTCATAGCAATTAAGGAATAAGAGTGAGGAGATGGGCTCAGAGTGTACCCATTCTTTACAAGTATATGCAAATACAAGTCAAAAGCTTAATTTAAAGAAAGGTCACTTTCAACTACCAGGCCAGGTAAAACTCAACAGAAAACTGCATCCAGGACTGTGACTACTTGCACCTTTTCTTCTTCATCCTACACAGCAAGTTCACATTGGAATATAATTCAATAAAAGAAAGTCATGACAGTCACTAGCTTCTAAGCTAAGGTGAATACAAATTCTGTAGACCAGACTTAACATCATCTTCCACAATACAATTCCCCACATAGCTTATCAAAGAAGAAAGAAAATCCTTTAATTTGACATAAAAGTTTTTTAGTGACATTATGTGCCTTAACAGTATCTATAAAGCACATGCTTTGAACCATTTGATAGGCTGGCAAGCTCCCAATTAGCAAGCAGCTAAAGCAAAGACATAATAAGAAAGCACTGCTAACAGCACTAACTTTATAATAAATAAAGTTAATTGTATGCAAAAAAATTAGTTTTCTCCAAACTGTAAGCCTTAAATTTCTGAATCCTCTATCAATGACTACCTGCACTTTACTTGTAGATATCTGCGTGCCAAACAACGTCAGCACGTTGCAGCATGTTATCCAAAACTTTTATTAGACATTCAAAGATAAAGCTTGCTATTACTTTTCCTAAACTAAAGAAGCATAACAGCTGAAAAGCTGAAGTATAACCACTGCGGATTTTTTTGGTGGTTGGGTTTTATTTCTTTTCGAGTAGTGGACTAATTGCAAGTACATACTCAGTTTCTGGCAGACTTTCTTAGCATCTTCCACATTATACACTGAAAAATTGTAGAACGCCATATCAAATGCATAACAATGATCTTTATACTGTATCCATTGTAGGGTACCACTAATCTGTGGGCATCCTGGGGCTCTGCTCACTTGCTTTGGCTGTAATTGTCTCTCTGCAAAGACAAAGAAATTGGTATTATTTCTGCTGCAGGAGTTTGTGCATGGTCTCCTTGTAGTAACAGGACAGTACGTATTAACAAGGACTGCTCCTACCAACAGCCATAATTCAATTAGCTTACATTCCTTCTTCATATATCATTGATGAATTTATTTGAAAATGAGCATAAGACAACTCCCAAAGGCTTCGGAACCATTTTTACTTGCCTTTTATGGTTTTCTGAAGTTGTATGTGTTTGATAAGCACTTTGATTCAGAAAAGAGACATACAATTTGATATTCATATCACAGGTGATCAAAAAGGGACCAGGATTGCTTTAGATTTTCACCACTGGAATGGAGAGAATTAATCTCCCTTAAGTATTAAAAAGTGTTTTACCGTTCCTGATAGACAACTCTTCTTAAAGAGGGAATCATGTGTAGTATTTCAGCCTTCATTTCTACTTCTAAATACAACATGGAAAGATAGAATACACAGGACTATTACACAAAACATTAAAAGTAACACTTACTGTTTGGAGGGCTATAGCAAATGGCACCTTCAGCAACATTTGTACATTTTGTACGGTTCCAAGACCCTTTAGTATCCAACAGAACACAGTTCTCTGTAGTATTCGAGTTTTCTAATTCCCAAGGATAGTAGTCAAAGTCACTTCCATCCGACCATTCAAAATTAGCTTTACTTCCCTAATTAAAGAAAAAACCCAGAAATTTTTAAACCACAACATATGGTTGTGGTTTAAATCTCGTCAGTCATTAGTAAGTCACATAGCAGTATTTATCCCTTGTAGAGTGAGAAATTAAAATGCAGGTGGCCTATTTTTTAAATCCATACTAAATAAACGTACAATATAGTTCACATTTTCCAATCCATTCTTAACGTAGGAATCCCGATTATTTGTGGGAACTGAGAAAGTGAGGCATGTTTGTAAGTTTAAACCTGCAATGTGCCTTGTTTTATTCTATGGGGAACACTTTACTTAATTTCATCCTGCTGTTTCATTTAAGCAGTCTGCCTTCCTTGCTATCAACATTATTAGAAATGTCACCAACTGCTAAACCGTCGAGACAGCCTCAGTGAGTAAAGCTGGGCAGCTCGGGATGTTTGCAGTCCGAGATCCTACTTCAGATATGCCACTGGAAGCCCATGACGAGGACGAGTCAGTTGTGTGGAGGGACCCATTCAGACCAAAGGACAGGCAGAGGTAGCAAAGGCATGCATAGAAGTCACGCACCTCTGCAGAGGGATATGCCTGCCAATTAACTACCATGACCAGGTCTGGCGATTAGTGTGGGGCACAGGGTCGGGGCTGCAAGCTTTTGGCTCCAAGGTTAAGCAGAGAGAGGAGTAGGAGGAAGATCTGCAGCTGCATCTTGCTGAGCCTTCTGGGAGAACGGTCACAGACTTGCTCCAAAGCCAGTTCCTGAACCGCCTTGAAGAGCCAGTCCTGACCTAGACTAAACAGGCTTCATTCAGCCTTGATGATTCTATTTGCTAATGGAACTGGACCCTAAAGAGGGCCATAAAATCTGGAGCCTCCTAAGGCAGTGTTGCAAATTGCACTTCCTTGTGCTGGAAGGAATGACGTGGGACCACTGTATGATTTTAAAATGTCAAGGATTTGGAAAAACATCTTAGTGTGGCTACATACACTAAAATTTAATATACTTCAACATGTTACACAGGGTTGAAAAAGAATGTAGTTTACTACATGGAATAGAGATTCTAAGAAACTGGAAAAAAAAGCATCAGAAAGTATTTCATATCCTGTGCAGAAAACTATTTACAAGCTCTGTTACCGCTGTCACCAAAAGTATACACTTACATCATGAATTGACAGCCCAAGCCACAGAGGATAGCCATCCTGCTTCACAACATCTTCTAGAAATAACTGCTGTGATTCACTGTGCACGCTTGCTAAATCACTCCTATTTTGTTTGCATTCTCTCAGTGCCTCATACCACGTTAACTTCTTCTGAAGGATCCTGTATGTTCTGTTTCCATGTGGAATAGACTCAGGCAATGGAGGCTTGTGCTGTTGAGGTCCTATTTCAAAGAAGAAGGCGACAAGTTCTGTGCACTTCATTCACGTTACTAGGAACATACAGAAAGCATTAACATCTATCTACATCAATGTAACTCAAGCGTTAAAGTGTTCAGTACAAGCCGCTTGTATCAAGCAAGTTATCTTTTGCTACTTTGAACACTGTGAGCAGCTGATGGATGAGCACAGCAAACACATTCCTCCTGATCAGGATCTTACAGCGGTGATGCACAGACTGACCATACAACCCCAGAAGCCCACGCCAGCTGTGCCACACGTTTCACAGGGAACAAAACCAAAGCCTTATACAGCAGGTACTGCAGAACTAGGACTTAAATTATGACCCTCATCAAATCTTCTCTACTACTTACCCCTTTCGATTTTACAGGCGAGAATACTGTACACATTATAGTGATGAGCATGCCAACTTTGAGAATAATTATAAATATCCCAAAACCCATCAAGATTTACACCAGCAAAAAAACTGTTCTTCTTTATGTCAGGTCTTCCCAGCCTCCAGTTATTGTAAGTCAGATGAGTTTCATCATACCACTTGAGAACTTTATCTGTGGAAAACATTGCATGTTTATTAAAAGATTGGCATTTTGCGTACAAATACCATTTAACTTTGAATGTATTAATGACATTAACAAATATTCCCATTGGAAAAAATGGAGTGATACTCTAAGTTACTGGAAATCAGTTCCATGTACAATGATAAAAATGTTAGCATGACTCATCCAGGCCCTTTTAAGTCCTGCTTTCCAGGGAAATCAAATCTAGACTAAACACAACATACTGGATCTAATTATCACTCAAACAGAAAGCATGTCTGGTTATTTTCTTCTAGAAGATAAATACAAATATAAAGCATTATTACAGGTTTGCATTCAGTATGACTTTATTTGTATACTGAAACATGCAAGCAACACATAGTTAATGCTGCAAACTTTGTCTCCAATCCAGTTACTAAGAAAAAAAACCACTTAAATCTTACCACTGTCATCATAGATCACACCCAGCCAGACCCACATAGCCAGACCACTGAATGAATGAAGCTGCTCAGTAACAAAGTTATTCTCTTCTTCATCTCGAACACTCAGAACAAATGCTTCTGGGTCTGTTGAAATTTTTTTAAAATTACTTTCTTAGAAATTCACCTTTCAGTTAGAAAATATTTTTTTTCTATTATTGCTAACGTTTATTACAGATAGATCAAGAATGTGTAAAGACTAGACCTTTATAACAAAATAACTAAGTGAACAGTGCGAAAAAAACTTTCAAAGGTATTATCAACAGTGCTTCCCCTGGTTTTGTGGGTAAGTGAAAGACATCAGCTCCAGAGATACTTGTGGGTCTTACTGTCACTTCAAGTTGTATGTAGTAAAAATTCTCTGCATAGAATGTAAAAATATCAGCAATCTTTCATGATTTCCTTGAACAGCCCAGTAGAGAAACAGTATTAGGAAAAAAGACTGAATTTAAATCAATTCATGAAAAATAAAACGTTTCTGGAAAGATGCATGTCTGGAGTGCCATGAGCAACAGTTTAATATAAGAGGGCAGCCGTCGCTACGCTTACGCTTTGTTCAGGATGGACAGGAAAAGCCCACGTGCGTTTCCGAACTGCACTACTCTGAGCCTGTTTACTTTGTTCACCTGAGTGTCCCACATAGGAAGGGCGGTTGGGGGGAACCCATGAAGGAAATGAGGTTGGAAAGCCAGAATGTTGCCAAGGGGATAACAATTACCCATCTTATTTAAAATTTCATATCATAAAGAGAAAAAAACCCCAAACCCTTCTGATTTTTCAAAGATCTCAGAATTCAATAGTTCCTAACTATCTCTCTCCCACTCTCATACCCATGCTCTCTTTTTATGAGTAGTGCAAGGGCAACCCGCACCAGGCAGTGCAACACTAATGCACGCTTCCAAATGCTACAACCTTTCTCAATACTCACTTTGCTGCCATCGTAAGACAGTGATTCAGATCTAAAACTCATTTCCCTCAAGCTGATATAAGTCCATAAATACCTGTAATATGACAAAGTACTTACTCATTTTCTTGCATAAATTATGAGCTTCTTGAGACTTCAGTTCTCTCCATCTATTTTTTGTTATCATAAAAGTGTAACAATTGTTTCTAAATGATATCCAGGGTGTATTTTTAATCTTATGTGGGCACTTGACTTGGGTAATTTGTTCTTTTTCAGTCTTCTCTAAGGAAAGGAAAGATGACATTCAGGACATGATTTATTAATAGCACTTAACCTGACACACCACAAACCACTTTCAGGTACCATTTAAGAACATGCAAGACAAATTAAGTGCCATCCTCTAAATACATAATACTTTGTTGCTGTCACTTTCCTCATGATGGTGTTTTTTTTTTAAAGCAACAAATTCAGCAGTAAGCATTATCAAAGAATGCAGATACTTACAACTTTCAACAATTGTTATGTTATACAGGTTTAAGAATAAAACCCCTACATAAAATGCTAAGTGTGGGCCAGTAACTCAAGGCTCTTATTGCCTCTTGTATGAAGGCAGATCACCATAACAAATAAACTACTTCATAGCTGGGAATACATCCTTTATCTAATACTTGAGGAGTAGGAAGCACTCTTCCTGCAGTTGCTTAGATTGCAAGCACAAAACAGTTAAAAATGTCATAATGCCAAGTATACACTCTACTGTATGACTCAGTATGTACAACAATGGCTTAACTGTGTCCCATCATGGAAAAAAAACCCCAAACAAATCACAATGGTCTCACAGGGAAGAAATCTGTGATGATGCCTTGGAAAGACCTTTTTTATTTTTCAGAAAAGGGTTGTGCTATATACGTACCCCCCCCACCCCCCCCCCCCAAGATGTCCTGCTGTATCTCCACCTGTCTTGCTATAATTGGTACGTATTTAGAAAGGTTTTGTGAACCGCAGATGACTAATTTACACCTTTCAACTCAGTGTCTACCTTCTATCTTTCTTCCCTGTGTAGTCATGTACGTCCTCCCTGTACAGACTTCCATGTCCGAAGATATTTCAGGAGGCCCCAATATTAAGATAGAAATAGTACAGAAGTAGCTGAATCTTCTTCCACATGCAAGTGGGAGAGATTAGCATGCAACAATCTTACAGAAACAGTGTAAAGGTAGAATCAGCTGGCAATGTGAAGGGTACAGCCTGGCCAAGGGTGCACTCACGCCAAATTCATTTCTAAGTAACATGTGGATTAAGACCAAGGAGTTCCCCCTTATTTGAAGTTTGTTTCTTTTTTTTTTCCTGTCACGCAAAACAGCCTTTTTTTTTTAAGTTAAAAAAAGTTGTAATTTTGAAGTTACAATCTGGAATTATCAAATATGCTTCATAACAAAACAAAATTCAGCTTTTATAAATACTATGCTAGGATACATACTGTCCGATGCATAGCAAATAGCACCTCGATTTTCAGAGGAACAGTCAGAAGTTTTCCAGAAGCCATCAGTATCCAAAAACACACATTCTTCGCTTGTTTCTTCATCATCTTCAGACCAGCGACTAAAACTAACATGTTTCCCGTCCAGCCAGCCATAATGTTTTCCACCCTGGCATTGTATCAGTAAAAGGGATGAGCTTACATGTTAAAAAATACTGGGTACAGAAAAAGACACGATAATATATTTACATTGGCTAGACATTTACAGTGTTTCTGGTGAGAACTGTAAGTGTTCCACTGCCCTCACAATCTGATCTGCTGCTCGCAATACAAAAAGCTTTGTTATTTTAGGTTTTGCAGTTGCAAAAACATGAATTAGCTGAAGCGGATGGCAAATTATCAAATGGTGATGTTTAACTACTATGCTTATGGAGGAAGGCCTGGCAATGAGATGTCCAAATTGCATCATTTGCACCTGCACATCAATGGTGGATATAATTATCTTGTCTTGGAAACCTGGTAATATCTGAGAATAAGACCCAATCTTAGTTACTCCACACTGAGTTGAAAGTAATCTATTAAATACTTAACTGATTTATTAAATCAGGTACATTCTTGCCCTGGAGGATGCAGAAGGAATAAGAAAAAAACCCACACACAACAAGCATGCCATCCTTTAAGAATATTACATGTAAAAGTTTTCTTCAGGAAATCCCCCTGCTGCTTTGTAAATTAATTTATCTTATATCTTTTGTGTCTATGATTCCAGCACTGGAGTAACAAGTTCTGTTGACCACTTTCATTGTAATAACCTTTCATGTGACTTTTTAATTGTGCCCAAATAATGAAGTGTTGCAACAGTGAAAAGCCAGTGCATGCCTGAGTTGTAGGCAGCAAAACAAATCATTTGATCTTCACTTGCAGATAAAGATTCAAAAGAGGAGGGAAAATAGGTTGTTCTGGTTTCCCCATCTTCACTAAGATTAAATGCCTGTTTCCTTTAAAAAATATTCTCCATAAAGTATATACTCAAATTTCTATTTTCTTTCCCCCCCTAGAATACTCAGTAGCCCATTACGGACACAGGAAGATCATAGAGCATGGGTGCTGAGTGACTACCACTAAACTTTGTAAACAAGGCACTTCTGAAATAAATTTTAACCTTTTTCTTGCAATTATCTCAAGACTCATATGCTTAACAAAAAATATAAACCCTGCAAGCAAGCCCTAGCTATTTCATCAACAGCTGAGAAAGCTCTCAATCCACAATGAAGATCTTCAAGAGGTCCCCTGGCTAATAAAGGCAAAGGCTTTTCCAAAGACAAAGCAAACAGAAGAAAAACCCACTAACCTGTCCCAGGGATGTCTCCCCCTAACTCAAAACACATGCACAAATAACATGAAGTAATAACAGAATCTTAAGTTAAGCTTTAGAAATGTATCTCCAGAAGTGTTTGATGATTCATTTTGGATTTTATTCGCCATTTCTAGTTTCTCCCTTTTAAAACAGATTTTGGGTTGTCTTTCTAGAGTGGTACTGTAAACAGAGGCGATGATATTAAATGGTAACACTAATTACTCATTCATTAACAAAAGAGATAAAGACGATTCAGTGATCTATATTGCTGCCACCCTACAATATAGCCCTTCATCCTATAATCTTTTAAAGAATTGTCTCATCTTCAATCCACCCAGTGGAGTTCAACAACTATGTAACCTGGAGAACGGTAGATTTAGAACATTCATCTTGAGATCCTCCAGATAGTTATCCCTAAATGAACACAGTTACCCCAGAAATTAATTTTCCATTGCATTTCTTTATCCCAGTTTCTATTTTGCACAACTCTAAAAACTACCTCAAGCCACAGTCTGAGGGGAAAATAAAACTTACATCTCTACTGAAAAGTCCAATCCACAGTGGATAATTACGAAGGGCAGCCTGAACAGCAAGAAAAGCCTGCTGGAACTGATCTGTGATGCTAACCAGCTGCATCTTGTTATTTATGCATGCAGCCATTGCATCATCCCAGGACAAATTCTTCGGAATTACCATGTATTGAACATTTTGATAGCTAAATGTTTCATTAAGAACTTGCTCTGTCTGGTTGTCAGCAGTTCCTATATGTAAGAAAGAAATTCAAGTTATTAGGTGGTTAAACACAGGAATACATTTTAAATCGCCAAATTCCCTGAAACAAACAGAAAAACTCATTTGAATTCCCCCTGGAAAAAAAAAATTCTTAGACAGTAGATCATGCTAATAATTATAGTTAGAATCAAATGCCATTGACACTTCAGATAGGAAAATATATAAAGAAAAAATAATCATTATTTTCAATCAACCAATTGTTATATCTTTCTCAATTTAGGTTCATATCTTTTTATATTTGCTATTTTTAACTAACTGCTAAATAATGTTAAGAATTCTATTTATTGAATTTAAAACATATTTTATAACTCAAATACATGAATGGGAGAGAGCAACTGCTTTCTGCTGCAATACAGCAACAGCTAAACTTGACTCATTTCTGTGGAGCCTGTGGATCTATGCTTTTGTGCATCTAATGGGCCACAAAACTTCTCTATGCAGATCTCAGTACAGCACAGTCCCAGAATTCCTTACTGCCATCCATGGGTATAGTAGGAATTGATTTTGCCTCCACATGTGCTTAATTAATTGCAGAAAATCCACCTTACATAGGGAGGGGTATAATTCATCATTTGTGCTTTAAGCACTGAGTGTTATCACAGGTGTTAGCATCCCACTTGAAATGATACAGCTCAGCAATGCATAGCAACAGCAGTTAATAAAAGATGCAAACAATCCTGTGGATGGTAAACTAAAGCATGCAAACCTGGTAACCCCCAAAGTTTTATACACAACCAAAAATTAATTGGCTCTCCAAAACGGAGAAAAAGCCTGACATCAAAACATCTCAAGCAGAAAAAGGTTCACTGAGAGGGGAAAGTAGTTAAATAAATAAAACCACTCTATAAATAACAGGATATAAACGGCTGATTGAGAGGCTGACAGGGCCATTTTCCAAAACACAAGATGACAAACATAATAATAATTTCATATTTACAGCTTTCAACAGATCAGGAAAGTGACAAGGCTGAAACAGATTGTTTCAAGTGTTCGTGTCTGCTGTCAAATGCTTTCACTTGGTAAACAGCTACAGCTAAGAATCGTGGAACCCGGGGTGCCATCACACATCAAGGGGTACCACACTGGAAACAAGGTAGTAAGGAAAGTGCCCATTTCTGAAAGAAGTAATTGCCTATGATTAAGGTCTCGAGTTCTGTAAATCACAATCATGTCAAGATTTCCAAGGAACATGAATCATCTTTTTCCCTAGGATAAAGCCCTAGGCAATCTGGACTCTCTCACAGCTGTCCCTGCAACCCTCTGAGGTCCCTTCCAACCTGAATCATCCTTAGATTCCCCAATACAATGACGATACAACGCCAGACTGTACCAGGACACATTCTCTGGCAGTCCAAAAACCTTTCTTATTACACCTTCTATAGCTGTGGCAAGGAAGAAGTGCTTAGTATTTTAGTTAGCCCAGACTAATAATATATTGATCTACACAGATATATAAAAATCCCCTTTTCGAATTTTTATGACTACATCTCTTCCATTCAGACTTCTAATCTGGACACTTGGAATTTATGAAATATTTGGCACTGAAATAAAGAAGGTTTTTCTTGTGTTAAATGGGGCAGGGAAATCTCTTTGCCTATTTGAGAATGAAGAAGGTGGGCATATTCTTGGGCGTTTTGCACGCCTTTTTTTTTTTTTTCCAGAAGAGAACATGTTAGTTACTTAAAAGAATTACTTACACAGAGGAACATGCTCAGAAGTGGGTATGCTGAACATTAGCCCGTAATTAAATGCATATAATAGCTGTATGTGCTTGATCTGATTCCAGTAATTGGTATCAATTAACCCACATGGCTACATCAGAATATTATTTTTAGTTCAGATTAAGAAAACCCACTCACACCAACAGATCTGTATGAAGTTAAGGAAAGCTGCATCACTCCAAATTACCACTCTCCACATATGCCCTCAAGGTTTGCTCTGGGGAGACCAATTTCAGTGTTAAGAGTGTATGATACCTCATATTCTTATAGTGCTAAAAACCACAGGATATGTTTAAGGAGGATGGAAACACTGTGAGATTCCTTTCCAGGGCTTCTCATTTCCACAGTTCTGAAGAGAAAAAAGGAGCCACTTCTTCCACCCCTTGATGTACATGACCTCTATACCCACAGAACCTTAAAGCCCCGTCTGCAGAAGTACGTCTCCACCGAATCCACACAGAGTCTCTCAGGAAAACCGATTTCCTCTAAACTGGGCTGTGACAAATGAAAGGGAAAATTCTGAATGGCTGACAAAACACGTCCCAGATCATCCTCTGTACTTTGCTTTTCCAAAATTTACCTCCTCAGTCTCTACAAGAATCTTGCTCTTCAAGAAGGTGCAACAATTTACATGCATTAAAAGGTCTCCTGGCACACGCATCTTAACTGCAAACGCTGACTATAATTTATTTTGACTCTTCACACTTACCTATAGGCCGCTGGCATATACCCAAGAAGTGCCTGTCAGCACAAGCAGTGAAATTCCATGTTCCAACATACTGTGATTTCGGATCATTAAGGATTACACCGCACTGATTGTTAAATTCTTCATCAAAAAGCTGAAAACCAGAAATACACTTACCAGACTCAAATAAGGCATAAACATACTTGTGAAGGTGAAGTAACATGAGGCTAAGAGAACCTGAGCTGTCTGAACTTGTTTAAGAAGTTTCAAAGGAATGGTGCAATACAGCTTACCTATTTTACAAACATTACCAGGTGCCCAGACTCAAAAAAATTTGTAAGTTAAATACAAGGGAGAATATTAAATGAAATGATTTAATGCTTAAAATAAGACTTGTTTGTAGGTGTGGCTTGATTACATTTATTATGTTTCTCCTTGGATGGAGCAGCAAGCAAAATACCAATGTACAATGGCTTACAGATGCATTCTAAGTGTGACTGAACCAAGAATTATTGATGACATTTTTTGATGACTGTTTTCATGGAGTCTTTAAAGTGAAAACAAAAGTTCCAGAAAAGTCACTATATAGTTGGTTCAGCTTTCCACCTTCCCCCTTCAGTGTTTCATATCTCAGTTCAGAAGCTGTCATCCAAATAAAGGTAAACAGAATTCCATTAGCATCAGTCACCTTGTTTGCCAATTAAAACCACTAACTGGGGAATTTGGTCTGTTACATATTTTTTAGCCTTTTTTTTTTTTTTTTTTGATACAGTCAATATTCCAAATTTCATTAGTCAACAGTCAAGCGAAGTCAAAAGTTAGAACTTACGTCCAGTGGAATTTTCCTTAATCTTCCTGTCAGGAGCGGGTGAAAGTTACTATACAACAGTCTACTCTCATCTATCCATTTGTTTTCCCTTGTGCTGAACAAAAACTGCAAACCAATCCAAATATCTTTTGGCGTACCAGGAAGCAAGGATGTTACATAATCTGTTGGGCAGAACAGTAAACGTGCACATTGTGGTTCAGACAACAACAGTAAACACCTGAAAAAACACTGCACATAAATAAGATAATGCAACCCCTGCTTGTAGCAACTTAATTTTCCCAGCCCTTTACGATTGCCAAACGCTTATCATCCCTTCCTTCCATAAGGCAACACCTTTCATGTTGATTTTATCTGAAAGGAGCAAGACTATCGGTATTTGTCCTCCAAATTCTGAGCTGAGGAGCAGGCAGTTGGTTTAACCTGTTTCTCAGCCCACTACTTTGTTTCTTGCACTTACATCCAAATTTCAGAAGCTGCTTTTCCACAGGTCTGCAAGATCTTCTATTGCCTCCCTGCAGAGATTAATAGAAGAGCTCCCTCCTGCCCTCTCTGAATTGGTGGGGGAAGTCTTATCTCCCATCTTCCTCTCCTACTGACATGCACCATAAACCAGAACCCTTTCTTGGATTCTGGCAGAGTTTGCCCACCCCACCATCAGAGAAAGGTGGACAGGACAAAGGAAGCCAGGTTTAGTTGGAAAAAAATTTAAGGAAAAACCTTAAAATCAGACGGCTCTCAGTGAGCATTCTCATAAAACAATGGCCTTTGGTAAACCCCCAGGCACCAAAGGGATTCACTGAGCCTGTCTAGATTAGGAAGACAAATTGAAGCTATGTAATTAGCTACTGCTGACACATCTTAGCTATTGGCCACATGCCAGACTAGCCCAGCCTATTTTCTGAGCTAGGCAAAGCCAATGAATTTTTACATGTCGGAGCCAACCAGCCATCTAATGCCACTGGGAAAAGCAGAAGCAGCCTACAGAAAGAGGCATCCTTCTTTAAGAGGACTGTGCCTTCTTTCCATATAGGTGGCCTCCATGACATGAGGGAAAGAAAAAAAAAACAAGAAACAGTAACAAACCCTTCCATATGCACCAAAGCAGGCAAAAGGTGCTGCTACGTAACATTTCAGAATGGGTGTGCTCTTGCAATCTTAAAAGCATCCAAAACCACACAGGTCTTGGAATGTATATTCCTGTAAGGTTACAATCCTATTCCTCTCCAGTAACAGCAGTAAAACAAAAAATTACCATTCAGCTGCTGCCTGCAGGTATACTAGCAGCCTCCCTAGCCCACTTTCCATATGGCAAGAGGTTATTTGCTTATAAAGAAAATACGCACTGTGCACATTGCAGAATTCAACCAAGCTACTTCAGATATACCTGCAGAGAACTGTCACTTGTCCACAAGAATATAGATGCAAATACAGCTGTCTCATTCAGCAGGTTATCACTGAACATTATTTGCAGCCAATGTGACATTTCTTCCTCACTGCATTTACCTCAATGACTCTATAGTTTATATGTCAGCTGAGAGGCAGGTCCCAAAGGTGAACAACTCTGTGTTTTGCAGTCCCCCTGCTTTCCATCCTCCTATCAGTGTCCTGGAGAGCTTGCAGGTGGTCAGTTTAGACACACTGCCATACTAAGCTGCTCAGCACACCGAGACACAGAGGGTCCTATGTGTTCCAGCAGGTATTGTGTTTGCCACCTCGTTCCCACACAGACAGCTGAAGTTGTCTTGGAAGCAGCTCCTAAGGTGGTTTTCACAGTGCAAAGTCTACAGTCTCAGTTATGTTTTAACTTGCAAAGCAAACCACAGGAAGTCTTCAGAGGTGACCCTTCTACCCTCAACCCTTAATGCAAGGTTTTACAATTTTTTTTTTTTTTTTTGTAACAGGTTAAGATCATACAGAGAAGCTGCTCTTCGAACTGGCTCAAATGTTTGCTGACTGCATTTCCATGGTATGTTTCCAGTGATGCAAACAACAACAGACAACATATTTTTAACTGGTGTTGGATTTTTAGAATGCTCCCAGTATGCCTGTAGATAACCAGGTGATTTTACGCCCAAGTTCTTAAGCAGAACTATACTGAATTTGGAAGAGAAGCTGCATACTAAAAATGCCCCCAGTTCACCATCGTACCTTGCTCAGCTTGATTTGAGATAGATGGAAGAGAGCCTCCAAAAGTTACACACTTCTCATTAGCTGCATTAAATGTTAAATATTCAGGTTTCATCTTTAGAAAACACTGCAAAATAAACATAATGAAACCAATTTTCATCATACCATTGCTTCCTAAGAAATAAGTCCTAAGAAAAGATTCTTCAACCAGCCCTAGAAACTCACTTCTCATTTCCTACAATAGTATATAATTATCTTTCTCAAAAAGCAAGGGAACTGATACTAGCTGCATGCACTTCTTATTAGATTCAACAGAACAGCTAAATATAAAATGATCCCACTAACTCTTCATTCACTGAGGATTAGAACTCATTAATTTTTAATTGGCTACATCAGGATCACATACTGTTTTAAGAATGAGAAATTACACATGAACTCTAAAGACAGACAGGGTTGGGCCAGCAGCCTGTATTGTAATGCGTTATCTTTTGGGAGAAACTACATGGGAACTCAAAAGCTATATTCTGCAATGATCTGAAGTAAATTTGCAAACCTTGGCACAATGTAATGTGCAGATTTGACGCACGCCTCTTCTTATGTACAGAAAAATGGTGCGTCAAATAACAGGAATCAGTCTCACTATGACTTTAGATGACTGCCTTAAAACAGTACTGAAATATATCATACTACGGCTTCTGAACTGTGGGTTTATTCTTAAAAGCTGCTTCTAATTCTTAAGTGAGTTAAGTCCTTAAGGCAACTTAGGAAGCAGAATGTCTGCCAGCTTGCTGCCTGCCTATCATTACTCAGCAAAAGAATCAAGATGTTTCTGCCACAGAAACCTCATCCTCTCCCTTTCTAATCCTTCTCTTCCTTCAAAGCAGAGCCCAAGATTAGACATACAACCAACGTTCTTGGACCCAAACATGTGGTGAGGGGAAAGCAAAAAATCTTTGCAATTAAGAAACCATCAATCCTGAATAAGGGAGAGAGAAGTGGGGGAGATTATTTTAATCACTACACATAGTTTTCAAAAGCCACCTCTCAGTCCATTCCTGAACACTGGGGCTACTTCCTCACCTCTTTCAGCAGGGCACTCCAGCTTACTGGACTATGAAAAACAGGTAAGTATGACTGATCTGTATTATCTCTGTACCTTATTCCGGAAACGACGCCAACCTTTAGGGCAACCTCCTCTGACTGGGCGGTAACTGGGATCATGTTTCTCTAGTAAGGAGGCATTATTTTTTTCACAGATGAAGGGCAGTTTCATGTTACAGTTAACTGGGTAGTCTGCAGAAATATAAGTTTTAAAAAACAGTTATGGTAATACCTATCATGCTCCAATTGCCATCCATACTTTATGAGATGACAAAGACCAATCTGAAGTGAAGTCCTTTTCAGTGGAACCACAGTGAAGTACTACAGAAGCTAAAGCATTAAAAGTAACAGTAGAAAAAAAGACAAACATAAATTATTTATATCAGACAGTAATATAATATGCCTAAAGATCCAGAGTCTGATCCCTTACTTCCAGGAGTAACACTTCATATAGGCAGAGACAACTTCAAAACAGAAAAATCATGAAATAAGATTTCGAATATGAGGACTAATCTCATATTGTGGCATAGAAGGAGTGTGACCTGAAGGTCATTAAAGCCAAAAGGACACCTTTAACATCCATATGGAGGGTGCCTGGCCTGTACTGCTGTACACGACTCCTACAGTAACTGGACTGGCTTCCTAGTCAAGAGCAATTTTTGGCTGACAGGGATGAAAACAGTTTAGCAGCATACAACGGAACCATGGGGAAAGTGTGCTTTGAAGTAGGAATGGTAGTAGACAGGAGGAACTATTCGATCTCCAGGGGTTATATATTTTCCCCAATACAAAACAATGCTGAAGAGAAAGGAATTAAGCGTCAAGTACCACCAGGTGGCATTTCTATTACTCTGTGTTCCTCTTCCAGTATGACTCCATTACTTAATGAAATTTGTATCTCCAGATGCGTATACAGTTGTGAGTATTCAGCCAAGCTCCTCTAACTAACAGAACTCTTAAGACTTAACTTCCAGAGCCCAGATTATGTAGCATAAAGAAAAAAGGTAACCACCAAAACCAGAGTTCAGCTAATTAATTTATGTCGCAAAAAGAGTGACAATCAATCATAAAAATTTGTCACCTGAATTCAGGTTTGCCTCTGGTCATCAAGAAATATTACCATGGCTTCTCCCATGAGGAAGAAATAAATGATTCAAAATTCAATCAGATTATCATCAAGAAGCCATTCACTCCTAATTCAATATCAATCTGCATTCAATACAAGTTTGGGCAGAACAGTAATTACTTTTTTTTTAAAAAATATGATAATGACAGAGAGGGGTAAAAACAGCCTTACCTCTATACCAGTTCTTTCTAGAAACATACCAGCAATCTCTCAGGAATCGATCATGGAAGCGTGAAAACAACTGTAAACTGGATATAAACATTTCGGAGTCAATCTCCAATCCAATGTGATCTTCAAGCAGAAGCTCTGATAGCAACAGAGCCAGTGCAAACAAAACTTTGGGCTGGTAACTGTTTCTAGACGCCTACAATATTGGGAAGAACAGAGCGGGAAAAACTAGACCAGGAACAAGTATGTGGTAGGTTCAGCTATGTACCATGCCCAAATTAACTCTGTTGAGGTGATGTGCAGAATGAGGGTAGGAGGTTATTTATCACCACACTGCAATCGCAGCACATTGGCAGGACAAGGGATGAGAATGGGCAATAGCTCCTGTTTTATTTTCAAGTAGTATATTGCTATAGTATTCTGGAAAGTGAAGAGTTTTCCTTGTAAGAAGCCCATGATCCTTTGCTGCAGCCATGAATGGCACAATGCAAGGTTTGCTGTGAGTCATCTCAGCTTACAGGGCTATACTATAAGCCCTCCAAGTCTCTGGCATTACCTAACTGGAAGACTGATGTCTTAAACCAATTTCCCATTCCCTGTTCTCAGGTATTTCTCAGATATCGTCAGAGCCAACATACAGGAGTTTTTCCAGAAACACTTTTTTTTTTTTTTTTTTCAGTTCCCTGGTTATTAACAGTACACAGAAGTGGGCTTAAAATCCAATAAAAGCATTTTAAAGATCAATGGAATACATTAACTACTAGGATCACAGATTTAAAGGATTCAGATGACAAGACTAAGATGTCAAAGCCCAACAGGCTGAAACCTAAAGGCTCTGACAGACACACAAAAAATGGCTTACCAATTCAGTTATTATTAAGTTATCAAGAATTAAATTTTTGATGGGAATAATGCTTGTAATGGGAATAGAACTCAGAATTTGGCAGCTAATTAAAATATTTCAACAATATTTTGAAATATACCCACTTTCTAATTGTACATCCATACTATCTTAATCGCTCTCTGCTTTGTCTGAGCGCTACACAGTTCTGTTCTCTCCGGTTTAGGTACTCTATGGTCTAAGTTTAGCATGGCAAGATTAGGTGCAGACACATGTGAACAAGAACAGATAACAGCGGCCACTGAATAATGCTGTATTTTTTTCTAGATTAATTCAAATTATTTATCTTACTTCTTTTGGATGACAGAGAAAAAGTAATCTTTTACAAATTTGGGGATAAAGTATTTTCTTTTGGAAATTATTCTAATTAACTATATCCCTAAAAAGTACATCAAAAAAAAGCTTACAATAAAAGCATCCCATAATTATTCTACATACGGTGAATGATAGCTGTAGCCATAATCAATGAACTTCAGCCACCACTTCTGTTCGCTGTTTGATAACTGTGGAAATAAAGAACAAAAACCCCAGTTTTTACAACCCACAGAGAAAGAGCTGCACACTCTACCAAGGATAAAATGTCAAAATTAACTCTACCAAAGATGAATGACAAAATTAATTTTGACTTAAAATGTTTGTAAAATGTGCAGGAATTACTATTCTTCAGCAATAGGAAAGGATACAGATTGAGACTGATATGCCAAGTAGATGGACATGCACCTATTAGAAAAAGAAGACCACTGTGCTGGAAAAAGCTACAGGAAATCTTGCAGCACTGTCTTAAGTGTGTGCTAGATAGAGCATTCACACAAAATTCATAGCAGGAACTCTATCAGACAACCAAGACATAGCTGCAAGCTGCCTAAAGCTGATGTGGTTCCACAGGACCTTTGTTCCTTCCTCAGAATAATCCTGTCCTTCCAGCAGACAGCCTATCAATAAATACTTCATGAGAAGGCTAGAGGTGTAGCGGGTCAAATCCTCGACTTCCACTGCCTTGTAATTTCTCCTTCCAGGTAACTTCTTGTCAGGAGAAATTTCATGATGAGAGCTTGCAAGCTGCTAATTTCACAAAGTATTGTCTCACAAGCAGTAGCACTGAAGAAAGGTAGTAATAGAGGTGGTGGAATTTGAAATGTTTTGGTGAGATTCCTTAAAAGAATGTACTTTCATGCTATGAACACCACAAACCCCTTTCAGTAAAGGCTATCAGACCATCATGCATTTCTAAATAAAACCTCTCATCAAGCGATAAATGATGTGCTGTCTTGTACATAAGATTAAGAACTGGCACAATTGTTAGTGAAGTATTTGCAGACAACAGGATGCTTACATGGTGGTCCTGTTCTGACACCTTCTCTCCGTTTGGAGGCGGGTTGGATTTTTATTTCATGTTGTTAAGACTACTTTTAAAGTTAAAAATTCTTTTACAAGACTAACATTAAAATATTTCTCTTTCAATTCATCTTTTCCTTTTAAGTACATTAAAAACTATTAAGGCCAAGAGGAAAAACTGGCAAGAGAATGTCCTTATCGTGGAAAGTATCTGTTAGACAGATTACACCCCTTACCTTTTCTATTTGAGACAGTATTGTCCTGAGTTTTGTGTAAGACTCCACAGAGGCTAAATCACTATCATTTTTTTGACAGTAGAAAATAGCTTCCTGGAAGCTCAGGTTTTTATCTGGTACAAACCACAGCTCTGCTCCATCAACAACAAGTGGGGCTCCATGAATTCCAATTTCATCTATGCACAAGAAATACCATACGCGTAAGAAATCAATTCTGAAAGAGTCATCCTTTCTTCTTCTGAACGTAACAATAAATTCCACTTTGTCACTCCTTGCATTCTGAGCTCTCTTGGAATCAAATTCCAGCAGTCATGACCTTCGCCGGTATCAAACAAGTATGACAATAGTAATATAACAAAACTAATAAAAGATACAGAGTATTAACAACTACATACACATAGCAGAAGAATACACAAAAAGTCCACTTACCTGGTATATACCACTCGGGTGTCTTTGGAGTGCTACCTGTCCAAAGGAAAAAAGGAATAGTCACTTCAAGTTCACTTTCTAACAAGACTGTGGTCACCAATAATGGAAGTGATGGATTGTACTTATGCTTCTCAGTATGCATGATGGAAAAAATAAAAGGAGAAGGAAATCATACCCAGGTTTAATAGTTTAAAATAAGATTATGTAAAACTAATGGGAGTTTTGCACACCTCAGTCTTAAACCCTGTGGGTTTTTTTTTTTTCTCCCAAGCAGAATACAAGCATCAAAGTAGTACATCTACTCATATCTCCTCACAACAAGAAACTTTCATCCCCTGAAATGCCTTTTCATGAACAACCAAAACATAAAAGCCTACTGGACTACAGCACTTTTTATGCTGCTTGGAAAAACCTGGATCTGTGCAGATATGCCATGCCATTCTATGGTATTCCCAGCTCTCTGTCTCACTACAATGAGGAGCTAGTACACCAGTTTTTCCAGAAGGCTAATTGACCTAAGGTTGGAGCAAACTGTACACCTAAGATGTCTGTGGTCATATAGCTACAAATATCACTAAGATTAAGTGAAGTCCACAAATGCTGCAATTCGGTGGCTTATACCATCTCACCTAGTAAAAAGCCACTTCTCACTTCATGGGACAAGAAAGAATATAGGAGCAGTGATACTGCATCCTCCTCATGGTCATTTTCTGACATATCTTTGAATATTCTTAGTGCACGTCTGTTTGTATGTGACATAGGCAAGACATCTCATGTACTGTCCTCTTCACAGTTCAGAGAGGAAATGATAAAACGCTGCTTGCAAAGTTTCTGTTATTGAACAATAATGACAACTCACTGGTAATAAACTCTTTTATATGAATAAATGGATGTAACTGCAGTTTACCTTTTGTAATCTGGCAGACCCATTCAAGTTTAGCTTCACAATCAAAAGGCTTGAAGTAAAATTCCAGGTCTCTGCCTTCATGGAAATAAAACCTCCAAAATGATCTCCGGGAAAACTGAGAGGTCTATATAAAAGTAGAAAAATAAAGAGAACTGAGTGAGTACAGCATAGGCCTCTGAAATGTGAAAGGAAACTGTATTAAAAAGGTACTTTGGCAAAGTCAGTGTATTTTATTGTGGTGTTAGTCCCACAGCTTATTTTGCAAAAAATGAGCAGATACAACTGTAACTCTCCACACTAGCCAAGCTTGTGAAGCAATTAGTTAAAGGGCTTAAGGTCTGGCTACATACAAAAGTCTCTTCTTGCAATGTTGTTTCTTTGGGGTTTGTGTAGTGCGCAGGATCTCATCGATGCTCATTATTGAATTATTGCAGGGCAACTTGTTGCCCTGAAATGATTCTCATTTCTGCTCAAAAGAAGAAACCATCTGAATTGGTACAGAAATAATCTTTTTTATTTAAGATTATTTCTTAGAATCAAGCTTAAAATCTGACTTCACTCTTGCTCATCTCTCCAAGAAGGAGACTTTTTTATCATTGAATGAAATAACATGTCTATACCTAGCATGGTAGGGAGGTTACTATATCCACAGTGTCCCTTTCAAACCACTCTCCTCTTGTCTAAAACTTCTAGTAGCTTAATGCTAACAGCTTCTTGGCGTGGGGTCATGAACAGAGGAGAACAGAATGAGGGGAAATGGCTGTGAACAGAAGTAAATGGATGGAACTATCCTTTCCTTCAGTAAATCCTAAAAGCAGAGATGGTTCTAATTAGGTTAAAAGAAAAGATGGTATTGGAATGATCTTCTTAAAAAAAAAAAAAAAAAAAAATCAAGTGATGCCTCAGAAGAGTGAAAGGCCATTTTAAAACTCATGCCATCAAGACTAAATTAAGTGATGGAGAACATAATTACGAATTAAGCAGAGGCCTCACGTTTTGCATTAGAAACTGACACAGCACTTACAGTCTACTTCACAAGTAAACAAGGAAATTCACACAATAAACACAAACACATGCTCTATCCTGGCTACTGCATTCCTCTACTTTAGGTTTCAAACATTTTCTTAATTTACGGTTCAGAAAAACTAATCTAGACTTTAAAAGTTACTGGTAGGGCTCTGTTTGCTTCTTTGTTTTAGACTCCACGTTACATCCTGAAGTGTTACATGTAATATACAAGAGACTCTGAGTATGGCATTATGCAATAGAGAATAGCATTGTTACTAAAATATTTTGTAGTTCAAAAGAAGTCTTATGAAAGGTTATCATTAGCACAGCACTTGGTTCACAAAAAACTGCTTGAATAAGTGAAAATTGATAATAGGTGTAGACTGATGAAGGGAACACTAGCAACTTTTTCACCATGCAAAGAAAATACCTCAGCAGTCAACCTAAATTCAATATATGGCTGGAAAAAGTATTTTTTACAAGTACTTCCATGTAAAAATATTCAGGCTGTTATTAAAACCCTTGAAACTAACCTTTAGTGCAGCACAGTCTCTTGTGTCATACTCATCTTCCAGATAATCAAGTGGCATAACAACACTAGTTACCTAAAGGATGGACAAGATGAGAGAGTCATTACTTTACAACTATTTTTGCTATGGTAATCCCCAGAGATAACCATTTGAACCTGGGATCCCATTATTTTTATCACTATAAAAATATCTGTTAAACACCAGTTACTGGTTCAGTTTCGAGCCTGCTGCGTACCTGTTGTTATTCTGGGGGCAGGAAGAACTCACAATTTCAGGCAAATAGAATCATAGAACAGTTTTGGTTGGAAGAGACCTTCAAGATCATCGAGTCCCACCTTTGTCCTAGCTCTATCAACACCACGAAACCATGTCCCTAAGTACAACACCTACCCGTCTCTTAAAACACCTCCAGGGACATGAATTACAGTGAAAAAGATATTTTTGTATAAGTCTGACATATCAAGGAGATTAACCGATAAAACCTCCCTTTTGTTGTGGCATGAAGGCATCTTGTCCTCTCCACCAGCTCTTTACTACGATACTTCTGATAAAATGTTTTAATGCAATAGAGACAGAAATCAGGTTAACCTTATTAAAGATATGTTTTTAATTGAAAATCTGCCTGGATGGCAGCTCTTAAGCATACAATCTTCTTCTGAATTATTCATCTGTTGAAGGATCTGTCATATTTTAATTAAAATATTTATCAATTTACTTTCAATCCAGCTCAAGCTGAAACAAATCAGGACATGACGTTTCCTGGTTAAAAGTTAACTTACAGGTTTATCATCACTCCATTGCCAGGTCCCCAAAGAATCTGGACTCCTCTTATTCATTCCAATCCATACCCATCTGTCATTGCTGTAAATAAACAAGATAAAATCTTAAGCCAAGTACATGGTTCAGCTTATTTAATAAAAAGACTTGATATGTCATGGCTTAGGATCAAGCAGCAAAACGAAGGTTTACTACTGTAAGTTGTAGCAGTTCAAAGAGAAAATAGGCGTAAGGGCTAGGACCTCTTCTGCACTTTCTTTAAGAAGATCTGTAGGTTGTCTTTCCCTGACCACAGAGAAAACTAACTAAATTGGGCAATTCCCTTGTTTGCTGCATCACCACTTCATCAGTTGTCACTTGATATAAAGGTCTCTTTTCTACACTTTTTTTCCAGAATCACACACATAATTTGGCTTGTCTCGTCCATCTCAGGTCGTCTCTCTTTACACCATCAGCTCAAATATACTCCTCCTCAAACCACACAAACACTTCTACTCATACAGAGTAACTGGCTCCATATTTCCCTTAAGTTTGTCAGTGATAGAAACAAAGCAAACACAGGCACATATTTCACCTACGCACCTTCATAAAAGGGGCATAGACACAAATGAGCACGTAACATCACTGACTCCAATGCTTGCATAGAAGAATGGCAATAGAAATTTTACTCCATTTTACAGGATTACAGTCAGCACTGTATTTTTAAACAGATCTCAATTCTTCATTTTTCATAAGCAGGAGATGCTTAAATTCAAAATTTCAGCTACACTCCAGGACACAGAAATTGCCAAAAAAAAATGGGTTTACAGTGCAAACACTTAAATCTGCAGTAACAGCCTTTACCATATTCTTTACTATTGCTTATGCATCTAAAGATACTGTAGCAAAATGAAATATGTACTAGTCAAACTGCAAGGTTAGTTTTATACTGCAACCTCTGCTTCTGGTGGTCTGACAGCAATAGTAACGTATTGATGCCACTGTACATGGCTCTCAAAACTGTAACAGAAGTACTGTTCCAGAAATTTGTGTTGTACCAAATACAGAGAAGGAATATAGGATATTTGAGGAAATGAAGAGTTTAGGTTATCAACAAGAATTAAGGATTTTCTTGTCTAGCCTTGACAAAGAAAGTCAGGGAAAGGACATAATTATTCTTCACAATCTATTTGGAGACTAAGCCCCCAAGAAAAGGAGCTATTTGAGCAAAAAGGACATTGTGTCTGAAGGAACCACAACTCAGAGATAAATCCAGGCTCAAAATTGGAAAGCGATGTCTGACCAGCAGAGGTCAGAGTTTGGAAAAGGTTCCCAAAAAAGTAGTGCTGAGAAAGTGATTTTAAGACAGAACTTGAAAAGTTTATGAAAATAACCTTATTACATGGAGGGATGGACTTAGACCCAGGCTTACCTGCATATGCAATATTATGAAATCACTGGGCTATGTTAAGAAATTCTTTGGCAAGACTGTGCCGCTACCTTTCCATACATATAAACCATAAGGATGCTAAATTTAGCCTGAAATGGTTGACAGTGCAGTACCAAAGAACAGCTTAGCCCAGAGTACATGAGATAAGTACATGAAATACAAGAAGGACAACAGCATTTTGTTTGGTAGGGTTACCATTAGGAAGAAAAGCATCAGCCATCAATAAATCTCTTTTTTTTTTTCCCCTCCCTCAACTCCAGTATTGATTTTCTGACATTGGTGTGATCTTATCATATTGAATAGTCTTTAGTCTTCTAATGATACTACTAAGCAGCCTTCAAAAAGCCTATAGGCCCTGTATCACTCTAGAGGGAAAACTGTGAGCCAAATATTCACAGCTGTCAAGCAGTTAAGTGGCTTTTGGCAATTTGCCTTTAGGATTTTATTTTTCTGTGATTGTTCTTTCCAATTATGAATCAGACATTGCTTAACCCTCCTCTCCTAATTGTCACCCACAGGCTTAGCGTGGTTTAAGCAATTGATCATGACAGAGGAATATCTACTAAAAAGGAAATTTGAGACACTCATTTCAAAAGGATCTGCAGTAATTAACTGAGGAACTAGAGCAATTTTTCAAAGCCTTTCAACTTGTATTTGGCTTTTATGTAATAAACAAATTAAAAAAATTAAAAAGTATGCCAGGTCAAGAATTTCTCCAGCTTATCTCCCAATTTAGAATTACTGGACTGCAAACATAATGTTTTCCAGCTGACTGGGCACCTACACATTAATGTACATTTTTTGCTTCTTTTGGAACTGTTTAGACATGACCATGAGTAATTCAGTAACTGCTACACTATCCTTGTTAGCACTTTCAAGCTTAAGTAAAGCCTTTTGATAGCCATCTGAAATTATGCTATCATCTGATCACAGAAAAGAATTCCACCAACTATTTAAGACAAATATAAATTAAGACTCTGTATTGCAACTAAGCTTGCAGCAAGGAATTTGCTTGTACTTTAGGTATCTGTCTCCTAATTGCAAAGCATTTAAAATTCATCCAATGGGCTGGTTTCAAAATGTGTTTCATCAGTGCTAGAGTATTCTTTGAGCTACATTTCCGGAACCACTCTAAAACCTAGATTATCCCGAGTTTTAATCTGAAAAATAAGAGCAATTTGTGCTTTACAATGGACTCAATGCTGATTAACAATGAAAGACTCTAAATCTCCAGCAGTCCCTGCAGAATACCAGTGGCTTTTCTCTCACATAGAAGTAAAACTTCCATAAAAGTCAATGTTGTGCAGGAGTGGATAAATACAGTTTAGATCAATGTGAAGGGAATATAAACCAGTAATTTTTCTACTGTCATATTCTAACTGCTGAAACAGAAAAACGATTTTTTCTGTCCCTTATGTCGGTTCCAACACAAGATTAAGAGCCTAAGTGAAGTCACTGTGGCTTGTAGTTCAACCTGGTTCTTGACAAGAGGTAACACGTGTACATCTGGGCCAACTCCCCAATGGCGCAATTGAAAGCACCATTTAACCTTAGGCAGTGCTGCCCTAGAAGTATGTATGAAGCCCATCTGACCCCCTGCTTTTTCCATCTGTAACGGGGTACTGCCACTCGCTGAATACCCATCCTGCTAATCACCTGCTCTTTAGCGGAAGAAAACATAAGCTGTATTAACGCAATTGCTACAACTTGCATCTCAGGTTTCTTGCCATTTTGGCCAGTGTGTTGGGAGCAAGCTCACTTTTTTCATGCAAAGTCAAGTGTTAGTGAGGCTTTCTAGACTCAGAACAATTACAGCAGCAGAGCTATGCATATAAAAGGCAACTGATTTCTTTTCAGTGAGGCGTCCTCACTGAAATGTTGTTTCTAACCAATCCAAGCTGTTACTCTCCTTGCATCCAGCGTTGCTGCCAGCTATAAGCTGCAGAATGCTCACAAAAACAATCCCAAAAGAATGGAAGTAACTGAACCAGATCTGTTCCGCCTGTATTATGTCCCTCAAAGTGAAAAGAGGTTATCTCCTATTTCTTCCAGACAGGGGAATGTCGGCAGGCAAATTTTATTTTCCTTGCCAATGGCAATTGCCTGACTTGGCTGGAGCAGTTCTAGCTCGTACTTGCCTCTAAGGTGGAATCAGAGTAAAGAACAGAATGGACTAGGCACGCTGCCCTTTTCCTGGTGAACCCAAACTGATTTTGCTAACATTTAAAAACAAACAGTTCTCAATGAGTCACTGGACAACTGTGCAAGGGGGAAAAAAAACCTGAAATAAAAAAACCCCAAGGTGTGGCTCCTTCCCCAAGCTGAAATGAGTGCACTGATTGAATAGTTTAGGTCAGAGCATGCACTGAGTAAGTGCAGGGAACATGAACAAACTGCATGCCAGTGCACTCCAGCAGCTAATCACGTGTAACATTATCTTAGGGTGATTTCTCCCAGTTACCTGAATTATTTGTTCTTGGTAAAATAATTCACTTGGTTTATTTTCTCTTTTCTCAAAGGAGCTTATTTTCAGATAAGCTACCCTTGACTTTTGATCTCCAAAATACTTTATGTAATCACCACCTCCGAGTAATTTGAAAACATAACTAACTTAAACACTTCATTATGTTATCTAAACAAACAAACATTATTTAAAAGACTTCCGGCAATATCAAATGTGTATATTTCTGTTCAGGAAGTTCTGCAATACCTGAAAAGGGGTAAACCCAGATGAAAATACTGTATATTGGTGTATATTTGATGCATGCAGTTATTGCAACACTGACTGCAAAGTCAGTTTATACTGGGCTCAATATACTGCCCCTTATTTAAGTTCTGGTAGAATAATACTGAAGTACTGGGACGTGCCTTCTTCCTGGATAAGTTCAGTTTTCTGAAATACAACAAGAGCAAGTGTAGAGTCTT